CTGAACCAGCAGAACCAGCAGACTCAGACTGAACCAGCAGACTCAAACTGAACCAGCAGACTCAGACTGAACCAGCAGAACCAGCAGACTCAGACTGAACCAGCAGACTCAAACTGAACCAGCAGACTCAGACTGAACCAGCAGACTCAGACTGAACCAGCAGACTCAAACTGAACCAGCAGAACCAGCAGACTCAAACTGAACCAGCAGACTCAGACTGAACCAGCAGACTCAGACTGAACCAGCAGACTCAGACTGAACCAGCAGACTCAGACTGAACCAGCAGACTCAGACTGAACCAGCAGACTCAAACTGAACCAGCAGACTCAGACTGAACCAGCAGAACCAGCAGACTCAAACTGAACCAGCAGACTCAGACTGAACCAGCAGAACCAGCAGACTCAAACTGAACCAGCAGACTCAGACTGAACCAGCAGACTCAGACTGAACCAGCAGACTCAGACTGAACCAGCAGACTCAGACTGAACCAGCAGAGCTTGAACCCAACAGTTGATGTAACACTAAATGTAACACTGTAGTTTGATTTTAAAGTCTTATGATCATTGATTGAATTTGAGATCTGTCAGAGGCTGATTCAGGGGAGACAATTAAATCGATTGGAGTATTTTTTTTTTATTGTATTGTCCGTTTAGTTTATTTTATTGGATTTTGCATTTCGGTGAAGAATGGGGGTAGGACTTGACAAGCCTAGGCTTCTTCCTATCTCTTTTCCAACGAGTTAAATGTGCTTTATATTGAAATTGGCTTTTTTTATATTTTATACAGATTTTTGTTTTTATTTGTTTATTCATTTTCATTTTCATCTATTTTTTTAATCGTTCAAAATAAATCAATAAAATAATAATAGAAAATCACTTCATTTGTTGAATTAAAACATGCAGGTTGAAACCATCTCAAACAGTCCATTCACCAACTGGCTCCATTATAATGTAAATCATTACATATGAGTATGAGCAGCCTTTGCTGGAGCACATACGGGAATATGAGGAGGTATTAAATGAATCATTGTAAAGCAGTCTGAATCACTGGTCTGAATCACTGAATCACTGGTCTGAATCACTGGTCTGAATCACTGAATCACTGGTCTGAATCACTGAATCACTGGTCTGAATCACTGAATCACTGGTCTGAATCACTGGTCTGAATCACTGGTCTGAATCACTGAATCACTGGTCTGAATCACTGGTCTGAATCACTGAATCACTGGTCTGAATCACTGAATCACTGGTCTGAATCACTGAATCACTGGTCTGAATGGTCTGAATCACTGAATCACTGGTCTGAATGGTCTGAATCACTGGTCTGAATCACTGAATCACTGGTCTGAATCACTGAATCACTGGTCTGAGTCACTGGTCTGAATCACTGGTCTGAATCACTGGTCTGAATCACTGGTCTGAATCACTGAATCACTGGTCTGAATCACTGAATCACTGGTCTGAATCACTGGTCTGAATCACTGAATCACTGGTCTGAATGGTCTGAATCACTGGTCTGAATCACTGAATCACTGGTCTGAATCACTGAATCACTGGTCTGAGTCACTGGTCTGAATCACTGGTCTGAATCACTGGTCTGAATCACTGGTCTGAATGGTCTGAATCACTGGTCTGAATGGTCTGAATGGTCTGAATGGTCTGAATCACTGGTCTGAATCACTGGTCTGAATGGTCTGAATGGTCTGAATGGTCTGAATCACTGGTCTGAATCACTGGTCTGAGTCACTGGTCTGAATGGTCTGAATCACTGGTCTGAATGGTCTGAATCACTGGTCTGAATGGTCTGAATGGTCTGAATCACTGGTCTGAATGGTCTGAATGGTCTGAATGGTCTGAATCACTGGTCTGAATGGTCTGAATGGTCTGAATGGTCTGAATCACTGTCTGAGTCACTGGTCTGAATCACTGGTCTGAATGGTCTGAATCACTGGTCTGAATGGTCTGAATCACTGGTCTGAATGGTCTGAATCACTGGTCTGAATGGTCTGAATGGTCTGAATCACTGGTCTGAGTCACTGGTCTGAGTCACTGGTCTGAATGGTCTGAATCACTGGTCTGAATGGTCTGAATGGTCTGAATGGTCTGAATGGTCTGAATGGTCTGAATGGTCTGAATGGTCTGAATGGTCTGAATCACTGGTCTGAGTCACTGGTCTGAATCACTGGTCTGAATGGTCTGAATGGTCTGAATGGTCTGAATGGTCTGAATGGTCTGAATCACTGGTCTGAATGGTCTGAATCACTGGTCTGAATGGTCTGAATGGTCTGAATCACTGGTCTGAGTCACTGGTCTGAATGGTCTGAATCACTGGTCTGAATGGTCTGAATGGTCTGAATGGTCTGAAGGGGTTTGGGTAGAATCAGCAGCCTGGTGTTACGGATCATTTGGTAATCGGATAATCAGGTCTCATGTTATTTATTAAAACTGTGATTTTACAGCAGCCGTGATTTACATTAAGATGTTATCAAGCAAAGCTGAGAAGTTACACTGTGTTAAACACGAACACGATGAGGTGGGAGAGATGTCTGGAATAAAAAGGAACATTTTGGATCATCGACATCACTGATGAAATGTTGCTATGTGCCGTTAGCTAACGTTAGCTCCTACCTGACAGACTCCGTTCATTCACCTGCTGCCGGGCTGTTTCTCCCTGATGTCGAGATCAACATTTATTTATTTTTTACCCAGAATCTCTAAAAAAAATATCCTCACGGCTCCATCTTACATCTCTGCCCGATTGGAAGGACCTGCCCTGCCGGGGAACAGTCGTCCTCTGTCGGCAAAGATCGCCTCCGTCCGCCGCTCAGGTTACAACAGCAGCTAACAAGCTAACGGAGCTAACTAGCTGCATTTCCGGTTTGAGAATTCACAACAAAAGCACGACTGTTGCGAAAATTACGTTTCAGCATAAGAGTGATAGAAATCTGACAAATATCTGAAAGTTTTATAACCTGTTTCAGAAGGAAAATAACTTGACGACGAATTTGGCTAAAATGAGATATTAAAGAGGACCTAAAGGCAGATGCAATAAGATCGAGAAAAGGGGCTTGTTACTTTATAATCGGCTTTAAGTAAAATAAAATAAAATAAAACACTTTTAATATTTAACTGAACTCATTTTTATTTCTATGGTGTTCGTGTTTGGGTCTTGCGTCTCTATATTTGTGACTCTCTATCTTATTTTGAAATCCGGTGTAGTTCTTGATACTTTCGTTAACTTGACGCTACTTCATCATTTCGGCCGAGTGTGACCGGAAACAGCCGATCAGAGCCGAACAAAGCCGAGGTTCAGTGCGTTAAGATGGCTCGGAGTTTTGGCATATTTTCCACTTTTTCTTTTTTCTGAGTGAATTCTTTGACTTTTTAATAACTTATCACACTGATGCTGTTCCTGCTCACTGAGCGGGGTTCTGTGTCATGCAGAGGAATGATTTGTTTACGTGAGAAAGAAAGTTTGATGCATCAATTGAACATTAAATCAACAATATTTAATGTAGAGGAGAGAACACAACAGGAAACATTCCTTAACCCGAGACTATACAAGTGTTAGGTTACTGATTATGAGCAGAGCTGAGGAGTATTTAATAAGTATTTAATTATATCTGAATTATGTAAAGTATATCATTGGATATCAGATGTGTTGTTTTAAATCAAGTTATATTAACCTATAATACACAGAGAGCAACATAGGGTGTTGTGATACTAGAATTTCAAACTTAAATATGATTCCAGTTAAAATCCAATGACATCGATAAAACAGCACCACAAAATGTAACTTAAGTCTTAAACGCTCGTGGAGTCATTTCTGGCAACACTTCCAACACCTGCTGCACACTGTGGAAAATGCACAAAATGTTGCCAGCGTATTTCTGTAATTTAGACAGTGTGTGGGTGTCTACTTTCAATTTTTGATGGGCTCATTCCTCTCACGTGTTCTATGAACTAGATATGCAAAGCGTTTTCCTACTTTGTTTATATCTTTGTCTGCATGTCGCTGAAAGAAACATGGACGACACATTTTCATCTTTTTGAGACTCTAAGAGGATTTGACAAAGGTCAATATTTGCCGTCTTGTGAATTTGAGTAAACCAAGTGATACTATCGATCATTTAAAAAAAACAGAGACTGTTTTGTAGTATGAAGTACCTCCTTGGTGAGAACATTAGGTTTCACCACATATAGGAAGAGTGTAGCTCCCTGATATGAAACGGCTTCAAGCCTCTGAAACCTCTTACATAGACTCTCTTCTCCCAGCACTGGAGAGCAGCCCTCGCCTGGCAGCCCTGCAGCGTTCTGCCCCCAGATGGCTTCCAGAGAGCTGACCAATCAGAGGGCAGTGGGCAGGTGGGGAGGGGGTCTTAAAGAGACAGCAGCTGAAATAGTTTCTGAAATGAGGGTTTTTACTGACGCCTGTATCAGATCAATCAGATCATGTAAATTTGCTCTAAAGGTTTCACATGACATGAGAGGTGAACACGAGGTCAAAGGTCAACATGAGGACGGGATGGGAGCTTTGAGGAGAAATGTCTAAACTTCTCTCTGTGTGTTGATGATGAGAAGCTTACTGAAGAATATGAAGTGTGACACTCAGCCCCGGTCTCCCCTATCACCGCTGTAGGCTCTCTTCATTTTGGAATCTGACTTTTTGTGGTAATACACACATAGTTACAGGATCTCACTCACCAGCCTCCTGACAGGAAGAGGCGGGGCCAGAGGAGGCGGCTGGAAGCAGCAGGAGGAGGAGGAAGAGGAGGAGGAGCGTTGTCCTGTATCAGGCGGTGAGGAGAAGGAGCGCATCCTCCTGGTCTCCGGGCGCCTCGGCTCCGTCAGGTACGTCTCCAAACGGAAAACACTCACCTCCTCCTCATGGAGGAGGGAGGGGGGAGGAGGGAGGGAAGGGGGAGAGGAGATGCTGTGGGCTGGGAGGAGAGAGAGAAGAAGAGATAAAGAGAGAGAGCGAGAGAGAGAGAGAGAGTCAGTGTGTGAGTTTAAAATCCAGCATCAGGAAAAAAAAAGACAAAATGCTGCCCCCTACAGGAGACAGTGAGTTCCTGCCTGTCTGCACACACACACACACACACACACACACACACACACACACACACACACACACACACACACACACACACACACACACACACACACACACACACACACACACACACACACACACACACACGCAGTGATAGTCTATATTTAGGTGTGATAGTTGTTTTTCTGTAACAGCTGACTGACAACATCCAGCCTTCTTGTTGTGTTCAGACCTGTATGACATCACGGGTCAGAGTGAACCAAATCTTTCAACTCTGTCTGCAATCTGTCTTCTCCCTAAAGACAGCAACATATAAGAGACTGTGTGTGTGTGTGTGTGTGTGTGTGTGTGTGTGTGTGTGTGTGTGTGTGTGTGTGTGTGTGTGTGTGTGTGTGTGTGTGTGTGTGTGTGTGTGTGTGTGTGTGTGTGTGTGTGTGTGTGTGTGTGTGTGTGTGTGTGTGTGTGTGTGTGTGTGTGTGTGTGTGTGTGTGTGTGTGTGTGTGTGTGTGAGTGTGTGTGTGAGAAAGAGAGAGTGCTGAATAATGTAGGTTACCTTGTACCTCACTCTCTACTACACATACACAGACACACACAAAGACACACAAACACACACACACACACACACACACACACACACACATACACTCCTCTGCTGATAGGAAACTCTGAATAGTGTGGTGAGGGGAACACGAACCGACAGGCACTTTAACAGATTAGAGGGGATCTACTCACATGCACAAATACACACACACAAAGTAGAACTAAAGTCCCTTTCACACACTCTCAGGACCTGAGTGTCCTAAAAATGTTTAGAAATGTCAACCTCAAGTCATCTCATTTTACAAGTAATGACATTTTTCTCCTGGTGAGTTTATCCCAGAAATAATGCATCAGACAATTTTCAACTTCCAGGACTGAGAAAGGGAGCCTTTGCTAAACTGCAGTTCCTCCAGTGTCCACTAAAGTCTGTCTCCTGTAGTGAGTCAGTCCTCATAGAGCTCTATGTTAAAATGTCCAACTTTACTGCTGCAGTTCCTCCAGTGTCCACTAGAGTCTGTCTCCTGCAGTGAGTCAGTCCACATAGAGCCCCATGTTAAAATGTCCAACTTTACAGCTGCAGTTCCTCCAGTGTCCACTAGAGTCTGTCTCCTTCAGTGAGTCAGTCCCCATAGAGCTCTATGTTAAAATGTCTAATTTTACAGCTGCAGTTCCTCCAGTGTCCACTAGAGTCTGTCTCCTGCAGTGAGACAGTCCTCATAGAGCTCTATGTTAAAATGTCTAATTTTACAGCTGCAGTTCCTCCAGTGTCCACTAGAGTCTGTCTCCTGCAGTGAGTCAGTCCTCATAGAGCTCCATGTTAAAATGTCCAACTTTACAGCTGCAGTTCCTCCAGTGTCCACTAGAGTCTGTCTCCTTCAGTGAGTCAGTCCCCATAGAGCTCTATGTTAAAATGTCCAACTTTACAGCTGCAGTTCCTCCAGTGTCCACTAGAGTCTGTCTCCTTCAGTGAGTCAGTCCCCATAGAGCTCTATGTTAAAATGTCTAACTTTACAGCTGCAGTTCCTCCAGTGTCCACTAGAGTCTGTCTCCTGCAGTGAGTCAGTCCCCATAGAGCTCTATGTTAAAATAAACATGTTTGCTCATGTTTTCTCATTTCTCTCTTCAACTGTTCGGGCTGCATGTTTATACAAATCACCTGTTTACATTATATTAAGGCTTAAAGTGATTTAGAATTAGGGGGAGTGACAGATGGGAGCTGCTAGCTGTCAAAGCATGTTTATTTTGTCATGATTGTTTCCCAGATGTCAGTTTGAGCCTGGACTGAAAGTTTCCAGAGTTCACTCCTCTGTTCTCTGTGTTCCCTCTCTGGCAGTACACACTGAACTCATCTGTACAGATTACAGCAGAGACATTAACCTAATCAAACAGCGTCTGACACAAACTGTGATTACAGGTTTAATTTGGGTGGGAAGAACAACTCTGTGACGCACACCGACACACTGAGTCTTTCTGAGGATGATAAAAGGCTTTCATCTCATTTTAAGTTTTTAAGAGTTTTTGCTGTCTCAATTTTATCCCAGAGGACATGAGCTGATGATATCTGTTGTCTGAGAGGAATGATGTACCTGGACAAACAATGTAAGATATGATAAACAGTAAATATGCCATCAAAGGTCACAGCTAGAAGAGTTTGATTTAAGCTTTGTACCTCCCTCCCTCCATTATTCATTCATGTCAGAGCTAGCCTCTAGCCGCTACCTTCTAGCTTTGGTTTCTTTATCTGTTTATGAAGTATTCTTTAGAGATTTTAGAGCACACATAACCCAACAACTTGACAACTTGTACTGTTTTGAGAAACACTTATTGTTCTTATGGTTGTCTTTTGTTGTCTACTGATCATGGACTGTGAAAATTAAACAATGTGCCCACCGCCATGTTAGTTTACTAGAGCCAGAAGTGATCTTAAAGTATTACAAAGTTTTGAATGGTCAGTCACCATCTTATCTCAAAGAGCTCATAGTAATGTATTACTCCTCAAGAACATAATGCTCCGATAATGTAGGCCTGCTCATGGTACCTACAGTCTCTAAATGTACTATGGGAGGTAGAGCCTTCAGTTATCAGTCCTGCTAGTGGTACCTACAGTCTCTAAATGTATTATGGGAGGTAGAGCCTTCAGTTATCAGACCTGCTCGTGGTACCTACAGTCTCTAAATGTACTATGGGAGGTAGAGCCTTCAGTTATCAGTCCTGCTCGTGGTACCTATAGTCTCTAAATGTACTATGGGAGGTAGAGCCTTCAGTTATCAGACCTGCTCGTGGTACCTACAGTCTCTAAATGTACTATGGGAGGTAGAGCCTTCAGTTATCAGGCCTGCTCGTGGTACCTGCAGTCTCTAAATGTACTATGGGAGGTAGAGCCTTCAGTTATCAGACCTGCTCGTGGTACCTGCGGTCTCTAAATGTACTATGAGAGGTAGAGCCTTCAGTTATCAGACCTGCTCGTGGTACCTACGGTCTCTAAATGTACTATGGGAGGTAGAGCCTTCAGTTATCAGACCTGCTCGTGGTACCTACGGTCTCTAAATGTACTATGGGAGGTAGAGCCTTCAGTTATCAGGCCTGCTCGTGGTACCTACAGTCTCTAAATGTACTATGGGAGGTAGAGCCTTCAGTTATCAGACCTGCTCGTGGTACCTACAGTCTCTAAATGTACTATGGGAGGTAGAGCCTTCAGTTATCAGGCCTGCTCGTGGTACCTACAGTCTCTAAATGTACTATGGGAGGTAGAGCCTTCAGTTATCAGACCTGCTAGTGGTACCTACAGTCTCTAAATGTACTATGGGAGGTAGAGCCTTCAGTTATCAGACCTGCTCGTGGTACCTGCGGTCTCTAAATGTACTATGAGAGGTAGAGCCTTCAGTTATCAGACCTGCTCGTGGTATCTGCGGTCTCTAAATGTACTATGGGAGGTAGAGCCTTCAGTTATGAGGCCTGCTCGTGGTACAGTCTCTAAATGTACTATGGGAGGTAGAGCCTTCAGTTATCAGGCCTGCTCGTGGTACAGTCTCTAAATGTACTATGGGAGGTAGGCCTTCAGTTATCAGGCCTGCTCGTGGTACCTACAGTCTCTAAATGTACTATGGGAGGTAGAGCCTTCAGTTATCAGGCCTGCTAGTGGTACAGTCTCTAAATGTACTATGGGAGGTAGAGCCTTCAGTTATCAGGCCTGCTCGTGGTACCTACGGTCTCTAAATGTACTATGGGAGGTAGAGCCTTCAGTTATCAGGCCTGCTCGTGGTACCTACAGTCTCTAAATGTACTATGGGAGGTAGAGCCTTCAGTTATCAGGCCTGCTCGTGGTACCTACGGTCTCTAAATGTACTATGGGAGGTAGAGCCTTCAGTTATCAGTCCTGCTCGTGGTACCTACAGTCTCTAAATGTACTATGGGAGGTAGAGCCTTCAGTCATCAGACCTGCTAGTGGTACAGTCTCTAAATGTACTATGAGAGGTAGAGCCTCTCTTTCTTTGTAATCGTTTTGCTTACTGTCATCCAGCGGGCCGATGGGCTCTGACCTCCCCCTGCTCATCTCTCTGACCTCGTTTCCCTCCCTCGTGTCCGTCTGTCCGTCCCCCTCCTCGGTGCAGGATGTCCTGTGTCCTGTCCGTCTCTGCATCAGCTCCCTCCTCTTCCTGTTTGACAAAGGAAGCATTTGGACGTACAGGATCCCGTAGGGCTCCGACCGCCGCCGCAGCATCCGTCTGTCCGCCTCCTTCTGCCTCCTGTCCTTCTGTCCTCCATCTCTGTCCTCCACCATGACCCACGAGGTGGATTTTCTCCTCTCTTTCCCTCTGCCTGACTCCGCCCTCTTCCTGTCTCTCCTGTCTTCCTCGCCCATGTTCGATTCAGACCCCCGGCGGTCTTTCTTTCTGCCGCTCTTCTTCTCCTCCGTCTTTTCCTCGTCCTCGGTCCGTCCACACGGATCAGACTTCCTCCTCAGCATCCGTTGGTGTGTGTGTCTGTCTCTGCTCTCTGTCTGCCTCACCTCCTCTTCCTCTTCCTCCTCTTCCTCATCGCCTCCTCCAAACGGTTCGCTTCTCCTCCTCCCCGTCCATCTCTCCTTCTCCTTCCACTTCCTCAGCATCAAACTGCTCAGACGCTTCATCGCCATGGCCGCAGTTAATTAAAAAACTAAAACCTCTGAAATAGAAATCTTTAAGAGACTTCAGCCTTAAAATGACTTCATCCTCTTTTTACAGAAGAAATGTTACATGACAGAAAATTAGACTTAAAGGATTTAAAAGGATTTGACTGACACAAAGAAATGAAAGTGGAAAAAAATGTCAAGTCACCAACTTCAACAAAATCCACCAAAATGTCAGTGTTGTAACGTGTATTTGGTTCCAGGTATGAAAGCTTCACCAGCTGTGAGCCAGCCTGAATGTCAACCTGCTCTGATTGGCTGCTGCAGAAAGCTGCTTTGACTTTTTGTATCAAAAAGTTTCCAATACACTGAGTCACAGTCGATTCCTTTATCACAGAGATTAGAGACAAACCTGAGAGCGTCCGACCGTGAACTCTTTAAAACCTTGAAACAGGAAATCAAACTCCAGACGAGCTCCGACGTCCTCACACTGTTGCTGCCATCAAATCCTGGAGGAAAACA